CTGAAACCAAATGGAATGTACGTCCAATCTGCCCTGCTCTGATTGGTCGGTTTTCTAACCCTGAATGGAATGGACGTCCATTCCACCCCCACCTGTTGGATAGACATGGAGTCCAGCTGTGTTGGGTCTGTCAGTGCTTTCACATGCTCCGTATAGTTCCTCCAACATACTGACATTCAGATTGCCGCCAACACATGTAGCCATTGTGGATGAGCGGCTCATGTATTGGTTTGTTCAATTCTGTGGATAATATCAACTGGCTGAAATCATGCGCGATATGATCCCACCGTTGAATTATCTGCTTGATACTCTGTGTGGCTGTATACTTTAACTGATGAGTTGAACCCTTCAAATGCCGTTCAATTTCTGTTGGCCATACTGCATACTTGCATTGACGGCATATGATGATGGGGTATGATTCACACTGAATGAAAAATTGATGTTCCATGTTAATGAAGTCAGTGTATTCTTGAGTTGATATATATATATATATATATATATATTCTTTGAAAATGAAGTATAAACACACTTCACTCGGCAATGATAATTTGCTCTAAATTTAAGTTTTGTAATGCTTCTAAGCAATTGCAGATCAATACTTAAATGTCTGATGTTAATTTCTGTCTGATTGTTATTTCGCTGATCTGTGACCGTTTTGATGATGGTAGTTGCCCAGGGGGGAAATATATATATTTAATATTGATAACTCTGCAAAACAACTTATCTACTTTAATGTTGTAATAATATGATTTTCTGATGAAATTATGTCTTGAAATTAAATATCATACTCTGTATATATAATATAACTGGCTACTGAAGTTTAAGGTCTGGTTGTGATGAGTTGTCTATGAAAATATAATATTATACATTTTATAACGGAGGTGAAACGCTGATTTGTATTGAAATTTATAAAGATGACAGCTAGCTGCTGAAGTTGGAAATCTGGTCATAATGAATTGCATGAGAAAAATATATATCTTTAATCATTTATAGCTCTATGTTGTCATCTATTTCTACTGTTACATATGATGGCTGCTGTTTTTGAGCCTTTCTGCTAACGCTCTTTTCCATGTTCCGTGCCCGCTTTCGCACCCCTGGGTTAAACCCCAGGAATTCATGCCACTCCCGGCTGACAGCCTGGTACCGCACACGCCGTGCCTCAATGTGGCCTGGTGCCTCCTGCAGCCCCCGCGCATATACTGTACCTGCAGCCCAGGATCCATGGCCTGCCTGCTGGTCTACTGCCGTATCATCTGCCCCATATTCCCGCTTGAACCCTCCACAGGACAGGTGCATACGCGAGATGGCAATGGCGGCATGCCGCCAAGTGATTACATTGAGCTTGGTCTGGAGGTGTGTCTTTGCCTCGCGCTGAAGCACCACCCGCAGCCGGCTGCTGTCCCACGGTCCATGCCCCCGCGGCCAGAGAAATGGTGACCGCAGCCCCCCTTGGCTATCACTGTCTCCATATGCAAGCCGCTGGACCGCCCGCGCGAAAGGTAGAATCAGCCAGAGGTAGTACACCACCAGCTCACTGACCTCTGCTGGCAGATAGCGGTGGATGATCTTTGTGGAGTTGGTCATGCTGTAGCCTTTGTGATAGGTTGTCACCATGCTCACCAGCCCATGTTCAATAAAAATGCTGCGGTGGCGGCCGCAGACCGTGTTACTGTGCCGTATGCTGAGCAGCTCTGTGGCCCGCGCAGGCTGGCCCCCAGTGAGATGAACCACAAGAAGCAGCTGCTCAAGAAATCCATCCACCTGCTGCAGATAGTCATCTACCACTGCTGTGTCCCAGACCACCTGATGATCAGATGGCCGTACAGCTACCCACTCTGCCCGGAGCCTGTCTGTTGTGAGGACTCGGTCCAGCAGCCATCGCTCCCCTGTGGTTGGAAGGGCCTTGCAGTTCTGCGGTGCTCGAAGGAAGTTCCAGCCGCGCTGATTGTTTGTAGGGCTGTCCGCCAGCTGGGCCAGCACCAGGCGTGGCACTACCACCTCCCGTGCTTCCTCTTCATGAACAAGAAAGAGCTGCTCAAGCTTGTGCTGTGTCAGCTCCACCTGCGTGCGCACGAAGCGCCGGAGCCCTGCTATGCTTAGATGCAGCTCTCTGTAGCTTAGAGTCTGCTGGTCATCGCTCCAGTAGACATACCCTAGACTCGTGGTGGTGTTCTGCACTCGCTTGCCGAATGTCCGCAGCCGGGTCACCCAGCCAAAGGGGGCAGCCACTCCTGGGAGGAGGAAGCGTTCACGCATGGCATCCAGCGCATCTGCAGGGTGCTCCACCTGCCCATCCTCGGCCATCTGAACTGCCTGCTGTACCACCAGCATCTGTGCCATGAGATATGAGAAGGGAAGAGGAAGAGGGAGCTCGACTGTGACCGGGCCCCACTGCGGGCACGCGGAGGCGGGAGCGGGAGCACGCACGGGCGGCCAATCAGGGACGGAGAAAATCGGACGGGGGCGCGTCGGACCACGCACTATGTAGAACTTGGATAGTTTAACCCTAACCCTATAACCTTCAACGGGCATGTCCAGGGGGTTTGACTTTTAAATGGTTTCATCCCACTGGTTTGGGTCCAACGGGTTGACGGGTTCGTTCAACCGGTTCGACCCCTGAACACCCCTCACTCTAACCCTGACTCTGACCACCTCATCCTCCCCCCCAGCCTCTACCCTAACTCTTTGTAACAATATTGCTGGTTCTTCTGTCTGTATAATAAGGGATGGGATAACGCGCCAAGGTGCAATTCCCCCCTTCACGAGTGAAGGGCTTCCTCTCGACAGTTCCATCTATCTGGCGCTGCTTGGAATGTCTCCCAGGATATTTCGATATGGGAAAATGTTCCCCCAGAATGCATATCACGGAAAATACTCTTGGTCCATCCTCGACT